GCTTTGGGTATGTTAGGCAAATTTTCTACCACAGAGCTACAGCCTTTATTTCCCTAAGGGAACATATATGAGGTTTTCTGGAGTATCAGATTCTTTTTGTCTTTTTGAGACAGGGTCTCCCTGAAGCTCCAGCTGACCTGGAACTCACTATGCAGACCAGGCTAGACTTAATCTGCCTGCCTCTGCTTCGCCAGTGCTGGGATTAAAGGCATGCTCCACCATGCCTGGCCCAAGATCAGTTTTTACTCTGGCACTGTATTGGTAGATTTTTATTTTTCCTACACTAATCTTTGATTTGAATGACACATTTTTACTGATAATGTAACTTTTCTTTTCCAGGCTTCTTTTTGAAGGAACCACAGTCAATCTTTCTACTTGGAATTATAAACTCCTAGTCCAGATGGCTACAGAGACATGAACCATGACATGGTTCATGTCATGCAGAGAACAGTGTTGGGGACCAGTCAGTTCAGTCCATTTACTATGTCTAATTGTGCTAGGCACCATGCTGGGCTCCATGAGGATAAATACATAGATGGGCTTTATCTCTTCATTCTATTAACACACATTTAGCCCTTTCTCTACCCCAAGAACACAGTTCTTTCAAGTACTCAATTTACTTGCACAGTATCTTCTGCACAAGCTACAAGTCCCTGAGGGCATGAATCTTATCTGGTTCATCACTGTACCTGGAGTCAGGGTGGTGGCTGGTATAACAGGTATTCTATGCATATGTGCAGAACTTAATGCAACGGTTGCAATTTCTGGAGAGAAAGCCAGAGTTCCTCAAGGTTGGATGCTCAGGTGTTGGTTGTGTTGGCTTTATGGTCCTACATTCCTTAGCTGTCTAGTGTGGACCACCATAACTGGTGCCCAGGTTTGGTGTAGGTCCTTCCACGCCTCATGCTTACCACTGCTTTCCTTGTGTGTGAATGACGTGGAAGGTGAAATCTAAGATCCTCCTGCTGAGGCCTTGGAGGTCAGTGGAATCTTTCCCCAGGCCCCTAGTGGATAATTGCCTTGTGACCCCAGTTTTCTTCTTGGCCCCACAGAGCAAAGCAGGAAAATAAAAATCAAATAAGCTGAGGATGGCCCCAGGACTTCTGAACTTGACCTCACCCAGATTTCTCGGATTATTCCCAATTCAGTGAAAAAACAATCATAAAAACGTTTCCAATGGACTACATCTGTGGAAGCGACCATTTCTTTGAGCTTCACCATATCAGACACTGTGAAGCCATCATAATTAAGAGTGAACATATATTCACACATTCACCCCCACCCCCAGTTGTTCTGCCCCTTTGTAATCTGACCTCCAGCTCCTACTATCTCCTCCCCAAGCTGCTGCTCTGCTTTCTGCTATGGTAACATTTTTCAGTAGCATTTCATGGGATTCCAGGATGTTTTGGTATTCCTATTAATATTCCTGTGTTTGGGATTGGTTATCTGGAAAGGATTTGCTTTATTATTACTCGGAAAAGAGCTAATTTTTTTTTTTTTTTTTTTTTTTTTTTAAAAAAAAAAAAAAAAAAAAAAAAAAAGAGGACGATAAATCTTTCACTGTGATATATCAAAATAACTCCAGTTCCAGGGGAATCCGAAGCCTTCTTCTGACCGAGGCATTGCACAACACGGGTGCACTCACATACGTGCAGGCAATACCTTCAGAATTGAGCAATTTCAAAATGTGAACATACTTTTCTTTCCAACTTTTTTCATTTTTTTTACTCGGGAAAAAGTTAATTTTTTTTTTTTTTTTTTTTTTGCTTTCTTGAGACAGGATCTTACTATGCAGTCCAGGCTGCTCTAGAACTTTCCTTCTGTGTGCTGTAGTGACAGGCATGGGATATCATGCCCAGTTTATGTGGTACTGGGGATGGGACCCAGGGCTTCATGCAAGCACTGTATCAACTGAGCTACACCCCTAGCCCTATCAAGTCTTGTTTTTAAACAAGAGCCTGAAAAGAGTTTCGACCTGACATGATTTTCCCTCATTACTGAGGTAAAACTCTTCTGAGGGCTGTAGCCACTGCCCATGAACCATAAGGTTTTCCACTCTGGTGAGAACAGAAGCTATTTTTGGCTGTGTGAAAGCCAGACATAGTTTCCTCTAGTGCTTTCAGGTGGTTTCCTCACATACAGGCGTTACCCAGGGCTCCCTCTGTGAGTCTCGGAGGTCAGCTTGGCAGTGCTCTCCCTCTGGTGAAGTGGCCAGCAGACCGGAGCTGCTCTGCTAGACTCCAGCTCACACCCAGGGAGGCACTTCCCTCCTCCTTTTCTAGCTCTTCTTGGAAATGCTTCCTACTACATCACTTTTTAAAGCCTTTTGCCTCACAGCTTTATCACTGGATTAATAAATCACGACTTGCAATCACTGCTGCTTCTTTAAAATGGTAAGGCCAATTGTAAAACCTATGGTCCTGGTCTGCACTTTTATCCTGCTGATAGTTCCTATTAATGATTTTTTTTTGAAACAGCATCTGGCTGTGTAGCCCAAACTGGCCTCAAACTCACAATCCTCCTACTTCAGGCTCCTGAGTGCTGGCATTACAAGCATGCCCCAACATGTCTAGCTTCTAAAGGCATTCTTATCCCATCAGATGTCCCACTGTAGTCTTCAGCACCCACTAGTCCCTGAATTCCAGTATGGCTCCCTGCTAACTCTCCATCTGCTCTCTCCACACAGCAGCAGCTCCAACCCTCTTCCTAGGGTGCTCCTCTTCTTGCCCCTCGATGGCTTACTCTCTGTAGGCTCACTCTTTTTGGAGGAATGAGTAATTTTTGGGCTATATCAAGCTAGTGTTTATTTCAGTTAATGGGATATGTTCAGTCAGTGTCTCAGATACCAGCAGAGTGATGAAATTCTAAACTTGGTAAGACAAGGTGACACCCTGTCTGGTGTGAAAGGCCATCAGAATTTCTCTCCTGTTAAACAGAATTCCTTCTAAGAGATGGGTCAGGGTTTCAAAGGTTCCCCAGCTCAGCTCTGCGAAATGACATTATGGACTGGACAGTTGCTGTTATGTACACTCAGGGATATTTAGCAATGTCTCTTGACTGTTCTTAGTTAAAAGGCAGAGAAGTGAGAGCAACATCTCTGAATTCCACTTACCGGATGCCTCCACTTACTGGATGCCTTTCACAACTAGTGCCCTAGTTGTGAAAACAAATCATGATGAGGCTAGGGGAGCAGACAGCTACAGGATGAGAGCACCCTATTCTGGATGTCTTTATCAACAGCTTATTCCTACACTGCTAATCCTGTCTCTAATTACAGAGTCCACAACAGTCTCTTCACAGCAACCCTAATAAATACTGTTTCTTTGCTTATCAGAGTCAAAGTGAAAAAGAGCAAAAATGTTTTATGTTATTGCCTGAGTGGGAAAATGGACATGTAATCTGGTGATGTAGAGTAAAACTTTCATGAAGTACAAGTATGCTTGAACCTACAAGTTCCATTTTATCAAAAGTGAATAAATGGAGAAGATATATTACAGAGCGATTTAAAACAATAAAAATTAGGGGCTGGAGAGATGGCTCAGGAGTTGAGAGCGCTGACTACTCCTGCTGATTCCCAGCACCTACATGGTGGCTACGAACCGTCCTCAACTCCAGTTCCAGGGGAATCCGAAGCCCTCTTCTGAGCTCTGCGGCACTGCACGACACAGGTGCACTCACATACATGCAGGCAATACACTCACACACATAAAATAAAAATAAAATATTAAAGAAAAAAAACAATAAAAATTAGAAATAGCCAAAATGTTCAATAAGAAGCTAAGTAAATTATGACACAGATAGATACACAGAGAGAGACTGAAGGGCTGGACTTTGGGTGGAAGAATTACATAAGACTTTTGTTCTTCTTTGTAACTCCCCTGCCCTGCCCCTAAAATGAGTATGTAATTTTGGTCTAGCAAACCAAAAAAGGCTATTAATATAAGTAAGCTTCATCACAGAAATACTATCTAGCAACACAGCAGGAGACTGGTCTGTTTTCATACTAATCTGAGAATGACAAACATGAATGTTGATGGAACCCAGGAGAAGGAGCCACTTAGGCCTCTGCAATCAAAGTGAGACCAGAAGTAAAAGATGCTCGGTCTTTTCAATCCTAGCCAACAGACAGATCCTTCTTGTCTGAGACATTTGCTTTCTTTTGCTTTTATTTATGTAAAGGCTTATTTGATTAAGTGTTGAAACTGCATATATTTTGGCTTCCTCATCTTTGTACATTAAGAGCATCAACTAAATAACTGTTGAGCCTTACCTGAACACTGGGGCGTGAAGGACCCAGGTCAGAGGCATCTGTTTCTGTTCTTTCCTTAACAAGAAACAGAGACATATTCTCATACCCATAGGTGAAGGACTTCAGCCTCCTTTCCTATTTGAAAAAGAATGCATGGATCTGACAGATAAGTTATATGCTAGAAAAAATATCAAACAAGAACAGTTTTGGGGAAAAATACAGTAAGGGGGAGAGACAAGTAGAAATAGTGCTTCCTTTCTTTCCATTGCCAAAACCAAAAAAAAAAAAAAAAGTTCTTCATATAAAAGAATCTAAAGAACGGTGATCTCCTTTCTGCCATGGAAGAAGATGCCAGGATCAGGCATGCTATTTCCGTATCTATAACAGCCATACTGGTCCCAGACTGCACAGACTAGTAATGCTAGTCATCTCAAGGCTTCCCACACTCCTCTGAAGCTGTTTTTAATGGTTGTCAGTCACTTCCAGAGGGTTCCAGATTTTAGTTGTTTACACACCTTTGGGTCAAAACACCTTCAGCTGATGTTACTCTATAGAAAGTCCTGACCGAAACTCAATCAAGTCAGCTGAAAGTGATATAGCACCAGGCGTGTGGGGGCCTAGCCTACACTAGGGTTCTTCTGCCAGCAGAGAATTCTCTCCAAAGAGAAAGCTGCTCCTATGAGACTCACAGCAGTTGGCACACTTAACAAAGATACACACAGAAGAATCCAACATTATAGAATTGCCCTACTTAATGGATTCCACACAGTTTTATTCTAGCTTGTGCTTGGGCAACAAAGGCATCTGACTTCAGTTTAAGGTAGATTTTATGACTGAAGTGACTTGTTCAAGTCATCTATGCGCTGTGACCCAGACCCGCATTGTCTTTTTAACATGATAAACACATTGACTAACTGCTTCAGGCATTTTATTTTTCTTATTTGAACTTCAGTCTTTCATAAGTACAAAAAGGCTCACAAGTACAAAAAACTTCTGAATAGATTTCAGTAGTTAAAAAGATCCATGAAAACAATTAATGTGGATAACATTTATCTCTATACGAGTGACAGAATTCTTAAAACATGGCTATAAAATGGTAAAAGTGTTTCACTGTAATTGTGTTAGTTTTCTGAAGACTCTTTTTCACTTGTTTAAGGAAATCTGTCTCACACAATTTATACTGGACAGATCTCTTCCATGTATCTTGCTGTTGTCCCTTCTCTGCCTCTGCAGGGTTTCAATGATGGCATCTTCATCGCTACAGTTAGCTTTTGATGTTCTACCCAAAGAACGGTTCTGAAAACAGCCCCAGAAACAGGAAAAGTTGGCTTTTGATTCTTACTATCCTTTCCAGTGTTCTTTAAAAAAAGAATGCTAAAAAAGTGATCAATTTTTTTATTAATAATTTCTCTTCCTATGAGCTTTTAATCCTCACACTCACATTGTGGATGAATTTTATTTGATGAGCTTGTAATTTTTTCAAAGCATTTAAGAAAGGTTTCCTTGAAAAGGCTGAGTTTTCCTACCTTAAGTAAAATTGATGTTCGAAGTGAAGTCCAAGTTTATCTTGCTGTTTTCCTACCAAGTAACAAATCTGTTGGCCACAGAGATCTGAGCTCTCCATGGCCATTGTTCAGCAACTCTAGGTATGGCCAAAATTAAGCTATCAAGACCAAAGCTTCCCTTCATTTAAATACAGCTAAGAAAAATACTGGCAGAATATCACGGACTTGAAGACCGAATAGACACTGGGAAGGAGGGACAGATGCCGTCTCACAGCTTAGATTTCTTTCTCCTTTGCTTAATGAGAAATAAGTCATCATCGCCACCATCTTCTGTGTGCTGCTCCCTTTTCTTAGGCTTGCTCCGCTTGTTCTCTAGGGGAAGCTTGTCTGCTCTCAGCTTGTGGTAATGGGATGAGCGGTAAAAGGACTTGGGAGGTTTCTGGGTTTTAACTCTGCCAGCAGAATGGGATTTCGCGCCCCTAGGAAAGTCCTCATCTGCCTTCCGATGCCTGTCAGCCTGCCTGTGCCGCTCACGTTCTCTATTTCTGTTCATTTCTTTCTGGGTTTCTTTATTTTCTTGAGGCCACCCACTGCTTTTCCTTGAGGCCTGGCTCTTCCTCATGTCATGGTGGTGCCTCTTATCTGCCTGTTCTATATGTGGTCTCTTGAACTTCCTTGGAAAATCTCCATTTTTCTGTATTTCTGGAAGATAAAAAGGTGTTTTTGCATACTGAGCAGCTCGTCAATTATTTCTAAGTCTACAAATAACATGGCAGGCAGGGGAGGCACACATCCAAAAGTGAACAATATGACATACTAAGGAGCCCTTATTATGGTTAAAAAGTAAATCATTCACTAAAAATTGAATAGTTGTAGTTCTACATACCTGATTGCCGAAGTGGGAAAACACACCAAAATCCATTAGGAGCTATGTACTCTATTCAACAGATTAACAACATTAAACAACAGAGACAAGGACTGAAGGGATAGTCATCATCTTAGCCTTGTGAAGAAAATCCAGATCTGACCAATTCAAGTTCCTCCAGTAATAGAGTCAGTCCATGAAGATAAGGTAGAACAAGATGTACAAAATGGCCTTTTGATTGTCTTACATCGCATTTAAATTACCTTCTGAAGACAAAGCCTGGCCACTGTACTATGAAGTGGATGCCAAACTTCTCAGGACACTATTACTCCAGAGAAGAGGCTGCTGGGGCGGACAGTGTGTCTATGTGGGCCTGTTCCTGTGCATGGGTCTTAGAGGTTTAGTGCCAGATGACGCTATATTTTGTCATGACTTGACATATTTACTATGAGCATCTGACAGAAGTGATTCTGACAGTCGCAGGTGGTAGTTGAGGCTACAGGGAGGTATGAAAACTAATATATTCACACACCCTTGAACGATTATAGAGGTGACCAATAAACTTTTAACATAAAACTTTTAAGCATAAAATAAAAAATTCCAAAGGATCATAGTCTCAAGAGGATTTGTGCTACAGAGTTGTCAAAACTAGCTAAGAAGGAAAAAAAGATTTTCTCAGATTGCAAGTTATAAATGTTCACTACGGAAAACTATGAAGAAAACAAATTATAAAGAAAATAAGACAGATAGCACCATAATCCTCTAATTCAAGATGACATTTTCACAATCTCTTTTTAATTTAGTTACCTAATCACTATCTTTATATACTGCAGTTTCTCTACAGGTGAGATACATTTTGTATTAAGTATAAAAGTTATGCAAGAGACGAGAAAGAACAAGTATCATCATTTTGAAAAGGACCTGAACTTGGAGAGTACAGAAACAAAAAGGGTGAGTTAAAAATGCCAAGAGTCAGAAAAGAATTCCTGTAACAACTTAAAAATACACAACTATTTTATCCAGAAACAGGGGCAGTAACTTGGAACACAATCTTGATACTAAGAAATGCTAAAGGCAAAGAAACTAGATTTCAACAGCAAGATTTTAATTTGATGAGAACTTTACATTAGGAACAGGAAACAGAAGGCATAGACTGGCTGTGGATCTGGTACTCTGCTGGCAGTGTGAGTCTGTGAGAGCAGACTTCTTGGGGGAAGCCCCAGGAATTACTCACAGGAAAGCCTTTCTTTCCATGAAAAGTATTATAGACATCCAAAGAGAAAATAATTACCTGTCAAACAAAATTTCAAAGGAATCTTTAAAATACTGTACATGGACAAATGGATAGCAGAATATTTTTAGAAATTTCTGAAACGCTCACTCTGAGAAAAATGTTTACTGCGAATAAACCACAACATAGGATTTTTGAAGTAGAGGCTTGGTTTCTAGAGATCAAGCAAGTTCAAGTTTTTATGGTAATTATTCAAAATGTCTTCTGTGCTAACCAATGATTTCCAAAGTAAGCAAAGACAGTGCAAAAAGTAAATCTGGGAGCCACTGCAAAACAAGGGGTGGAAAGAAAACTAATGCCTCCCTCAACTCTCACCAGTGACGCTTCCTTATACCACAGAGTATGATGCACACAGAAGGCCACAAATGGCCAAGTTTTAAAGAATAAGAGACATTGGAGTGTGTGTCCCTGGATAGGACTACATGAAACCTCACCTACCCAAGGCTCAGAGACTATTGCGGAAGAGAGGGCAGAAAGATTGTAAGAGCCAGGGCTGGTTCATGAACAGAGGAAAGCAGAGGCTTTCAGGCCACTGGAAGATGTGCATGTGAACTTGTGGCAATGGTGGCATCGAGCACAGGACCCACGTCAGCTCAATCAAACAAGGGTCCAGAGCAGAGCGAGAGAAATGGGTGGTGGGCCTAGACTGAGAACTACTAGAGACTCATTACTACTGGGTGAGGGAGAGTAGGCCTTATGATTGTGATAGGCTGACTAGACTCCAGTGAATGAAATTGCACTGAAGGACATCTGGGTACAAATGCTTGACTAGATAGGACTTAACATGTATGGTGGGGGGTTGGGGGGCATAAATTTGATTAAGAACTGTTACATGAAATGTACAAAAGCTCAATTAAAAAAAAAGTGATCTAACAAGAAGTTTAGCAACATACCTTTCACTTTTCGTTTTAGTCTCCGGTCCCTCTCCCGAATTTCATATTTATCATCATAGTAGTAGATGAATGGAGATGTTGGAAATGTCTGGTTAAACATTCGTCTTTCTGCACATTCCTACAAATTGTATTTGAAAGGATGACATCACAAGGCTGCATTTTTCAAAAATCTTTTCATGAGCTTCTGCTGCATGTTAGAGAAAAGCTCCATTCTGGGCACACCTCATGAGGTAGCTGCAAGAGCAGTTCTTGCTGACTGCTGGAAGGAGTCACCCAGCCCAATACTACTGTGCGTCTAATACTATTCTTTCAGGCTTGGGTTTCCTCCCCTTCTTATGACATTCTCATCTATTTTCTCTATTCCTTACCTCCCCTAGCCCAAGTTAGCAGCACTGGTGTGTGTGTGTGTGTGTGTGTGTGTGTGTGTGTGTGTGCTCTACTTGCACTGCCCTGCTAGAGGGTTCATTTGACATTGTGTTAATTATTTGTCCTTTCTTGTCTCTTCCAATGGCCTTCCTATTAAGTGCTTCTCCTGTCTCCCTATTCTCAAGATGTGGATATAAATTTTTAGCCCTCTGTTCTTTTCTCTGGACACATACGCCTTGCAATGTTAACTAGTTACTAGGGTAGTGATTTTTTTAATTAAACATTTCTCTCCTTACAGGTATGTATTGTGTAGTGAGCATACCCCTTCCCCCTCTGCCCCATCCCCTTCTACTTTCCTTTTTCTCCCCTTACTGCCTCCCATCAGCCCCTTTTGTTCTGGGGAAGTGATTCCTTTTTTTCCTCTCCAAATTTTAACTAAAAAAAAAATTTATGTGTCTGTGTGTGTCTGGGCGAATGCATGTCACTTGTGTATGGGTACCAGAAGAAGCTTCCCCAACCAAGCTGAGATCATTCTTTTTACTTATTTCTCCCATGACTCTGGTTTCTCCATGGTTATTTCCCAAATCCACATCCTTTGGCTTTAATTACTCCCCCATACACTAGGCTTTTATGATCCACGACACAAAGCTATGCCTCATGAATGTCTGGAACATTTTTTTCTTTCTAAGAGGCTTTCCTTTGGAACTTTGTCTTCTGTCAGCATTTACAAATGTTCAAAATTTCTTAACTAAGTATTCAAGAATATTAGAGTATCTTTTAAAAAGCACATGAAATAGTCACAGAATTTACCTGACATCATAACTCAATGAGGGTATCAAATTATAATTACATAAAGGTCCTAGAAATTAAAAAGAAAAACAACAAAAAGAAAACAAGAAAGAAAGAAAGAAAAAAGGTCCTAGAAACCTTGATATACTCAGCTAGTACCCATGTCAACAGAACTTTTTAACTCTCCCAGCCCCCATTCACTTTTTCACATCCTCCAGGAACAGTGTCTTTTTTGTAGTGACTACTGCTGTCTTTGCCTCTCCAGCTGAAGAGTGGAATTAGGGAAGGGCACTGCCTTTTCTTTCACATCAAGTATTTATTCAATAACAACACCTGGGGGGCTGGATTTCAAAGATTGAGGGGTAGTGGTCCTCAGACTTCTTTAAGCCTGGCACAGCTTCCTGTCTGGAAACTGTACAATCTAGATGGAGGTGACTACACAGAGCCATATAGTGTCATAAATGTTTTCCAAAGCTACACGTAAATTATATTTTGATTATCCACATCACTGGGCTCTTCCATTAACACAGATAATTGATAGTTGGCCCTATAATTTATCTACTGTTCTGGATTAGCCACACCAATGATCTTCTTCATTAGTGTTGGATAATCTAGAGTTCTTCAACTATGACAGTGATGGGGTTGCCAAAACTGCTTTACTGTAAATTGAAACTTACCTAAATCTAGATTTAAGGGATAAATTCCAAATGCTTTTGATATTTTTCCCATCTACATTAGCAGGAGAGACTAGTCAGCAGGGAGCAGCTAACCATATTTGTTTTTAATTGAACAAACATAAAAGCTAACATTATATTCTTTCGCTTTAAAGAGATAAACAAGTATATAAATTACACATCTGTGTAAGGTGTGTGGCAGTGGACTGCTAATGTGTTCCCTAAAAGGTGTTGGCAACATTTGGGCATTGGCAATGGGATGAACGTACAGAGCAATAAAAGACGTAGAGATAGTAATTCTGCAAAAGAAAACTTTTCTAGTTAGATTTTCAATGTGAATTCTACTGAAGCAAAGGAAGTATACTGAAGGATTCTGCTATCTGCATGACAGGTCTGATCACATTGGAAACAGCATCCAAATGTCAGTGCTGTATAACTTCTTTGCTTTGGAGAGAAAGACAGAACCAGAGAGAAAAAGCTGAGTAGTTCAGATCACCTGGTTAAGCCATTAACAGAGCAAAAATCAGAACTAAGGATCTGAGCCTTACTCTAGCTTTCGTATTCTACCCATCACCCCATGGCTTCTGCTGCCAGGACAGGGAAGACAAATTTGATCTGTTCATGGACTCTGTTAGCACTTTCTCTTCTCCTAGCCTTTCTGCCTCTCCACATGTACAGAGCTTCCAAGGTCTGTACTCGAAAGGTGCAATAGTTGGAATTCAAGGGGTAGTCTGCAATATGGCCCCACTCTACTGCTCATGCCATTACCTCCACTTCGAGGAGTTCTAAGCTTCTGTAGGTTTTCTCCCTCCTGTCATTGACTCTGATTTGATGCTAATTTACCTTGGTCTCTAGGCTATTAGAAACTTATATGGAGAATACTAAGTACTCCCATAAGGGCTTCAACTCCCTGTGTCACTGTTTTTCCTCTTCTGCCTCAAGGTTCCCACAGCATAGAAACACTAAGCCTGTTCTTACAGGATTTCATCTCTGGGATGAGCCAGAAGATACATACCAACCTCATAGCACCAGTTTCTTCAGTTCTGACACCTCAGCATCTACAACTCAGTTTGGACTGCCAATATATTGGCTGGAAAGGAAATGTATGCATTTGTGGAGTAGGTGGGTGGTCAATGCTGTACTGCCTCTGCCCTTCCATTACTGAGTGTCAGAGATTGCATGTGGGTAATAAAGACGTCAGTGACTGTGATACCAGGGAAAACTGGAGAACAAAGCCAAACATTTAAGTAATAGTTCAAATAATAGTAAATGTATGAAGTCATGAGAAATGGTGATTATTTTTCTAGCTAGCTTTATGAGTTCTATTTGTTTTCAAGTACATTTAAAACAATTAAGAGCTCCTGGGGGCTGGAGAGATGGCTCAGTGGTGAAGAACACTGGTAAAAAACACAAAAAAACCCACCCACCCACACAAAAACACAAAACACACAAAAACAATTAAGAGGCCTGGCATGGCAGCACATGCCTTTAATCCCAGGACTTGGCAGGCAGATCTCTGTGAGTTCAAGGCCAGCCTGGTCTACATAGGGAGTTCCAGGTCAGTTGAGGCTACAGGAAGACCCTATCTCAAAACAAAACAAACCAAAAACAATTAGAGGAATATGTTGATAGTTATTCTGGTAGGGATGGGGAAGTAAATTAGTTGAAAATACGTATTTTCAAATTTTATCTTTGAATGTTAGCTTATAAACAAGTGTTCAGAGTAATATTTTTCCTGAGCTCATCTTTCAGCAACCACTTCTAGGTAACATGCCTTACACTCAAATGCCACACAAACTTACGTGTCCATAATGGCCTTTCTGTGCACAGTTGTAGCAATACACTAATGCTGATTGTCCAGAAGGGGTCTTTGGTTTTTTAGGTGGTCCAGGTTTGGTCTGCAACATAAATATTTGTGAGAGTTTACTACATATTAGAAGAAATATAAAACCTTATCCATTCTAAAAGAGCTCTTAGGTAGTAAGAGATTTCTTAGAAATACTGCTTCTTAGAGTTTAGTGTGGAGTTGTAGTGGGCTGATGATGGTGCCCAGGAGACAGCAACATTTAAAGGGCAGGGAGAGGCACTCACAAGAAGGACAGAGAAGGGAGGGCTCAAGGATGTGGAGACACAGGAGGACACAGGCCCAAGCCTTGTAGTTTCAAGGAAGAACTGATCTACAATGCCAAACACAGAAGATGCCTAGTAATGTCAGGACAGAGAAACATCCATTACGAGTGCAACTGTTTACAGGTAACCTTACTGTGAGAATTTGGAACAAGTGGGAGGGTAGAAAGTAGATGGCAATAGGGTGAAGGGTGAAGGGATGCACAAAAAGGCGTTAAAAAAAGGATGTGTTGCTGGCGCACGCCTAGCACTAAGGAGGCAGAGCCGGGCGGATCTCTTTGAGTTCAAGGCCAGCCTGGTCTACATAGTGAGTTCCAGGACAGCTGGGGCTACAAGGAGACCCGTCTCAAAAAGACCGAAAAAAAAAAAAAAGTGTGTTATTCAGTGAACTTACTAAACTTCACGCATATATTTAATGTACTTTTCAGTATGTATATTACATTTCACAATTAGAAATGTTAAGAAATTGAATATACATTGAAGAAAGGGAAAGAGCAGTATACAGTATTTTCAAGTGTGACTAAGAAAGGGCAGGACTTAGGAAGAAGACTTAGTGGAGTTTGTCAAATGGGAGAGACCTGATCATATAAGAAAGTTAGTAGAGAAGGCAAAGCTGAAAAGAGAAAACACAAAGAATATGGACAGGTAAAATCCCAAGAAGGTGGTGGATTTAACTAAGAAGAGAAAAATATAATCTTTACTTGCTTCCCTTTCCTGGAGACTGGAAGAAAAGAGGCAAAATGGGCATGAACTTTGGTAAATTTATTTCTCATGTTCTTTATTGGGAACCTTGTTGCCAACTAACATTTTTGCCTAATGTTGCAATCAGGTAGTTCAGGGCTACAGGGTAAGGGAAATTATGATACAGGGAAATAATGCATATAATAAAAACATCTTAAAAAACCTCTACTTTCAGCTCCCATTTCTTAAAATGGAAAAGCAGATGTGCTAGTTACCTTTTTCATCACTATGACCGAATACCTCACAGAGAGGACTTAAGGGATAAAGACATATTTTGCTTGCAGTTTCAGGTTTTAGTTCCTCATGCTGGGATGGGTGTGTAGAGCAGCTTACACCATGGCAGACAAGAAGCAGAGCAGTAATGGAAGATGCCACAGCAAGATACAACCTCCAAGGATATGCCTCTTCTAATTTTAACTTATTTTCTTCAAACATGCTCTACCTTCCCAACAGTCTATTCAAATTTTGAATCTATTACTATATTAAACAATTCTTGAGATCAGAGCCCTTATCACCTACCTCAGATATACACAGAAGTGGGCTTTACTAAGCTCCTAGGTGCTTCTAACCCAATAAAGGTAATGAGATTAACCACATTTGAGGCAAACAAAACCTGAACAATCTTCTGTGGAAAATGATCATTATGTCACACAAAATGGAATTTACTACCTCAACTAGTATCAACTAGGACTTAATAATAACACAGCTAACCAATGTCATGTCTTCTATTACAACTGTGTTTCATAAATTCAGACTACTTGAAATCACTAAACAGAATTTTAACAGGCATGCATGTATATAAGCAAGTAGTATTTACTGCAATGGTTTAGAATTTTCTTCAGGTAGCAGAGTACCAGGAAGCTATAAAACTATCAAACAGGAACGTTCTTTCCTGTCTGAAATAAAATTGCAGCCATGAGATTCATGGCTTACAGAAAAACAGCAAGGGCCTTAAGAGATGGCTCAGTGGTTAAGAGCACTGACTGCTCTGCAGAGGACCTGGGTTGGTTCCCAGTACCCACACGGTGGCCAGTAACTGTCCACAACTCCAATTCCGGGGGATCTGATGCCCTCTTCTGACTACCAAGGGTATTGTATGAAATGGGTACACTTACATACATGTAGGCAATATACTCATACACATAAAATAAGAAAAAAAAAAAAAAGAAAAGAACAAAACCAAAGAGATGGTGTCATGGACATGGTATTTCAAGGAAGAAGTTCTAAAAGATGGCTGTAGTGGCACACACCTGTAATCCCAGTACTCAGGAGGTAGAGGCAGGAAGATCAGTAGTTCAAGGTCACTTCAGTTACACAGCGAGTTCCAGGCCAGCCTGGGCTACATGTGACCCCATCTCAAAAAACCACAAAGAAGTGAAAGTTAATGAGTTATTACCTAAGATGAAGACTATAAAATACATTGGACTTAGCAATCAGGAAGTTGTTGATAATTGGAAACTACTGAAAGCAATTTCACTTGAGGGGCTGAGGCAGAAGCCAGATTGTAATGGTTTATTCTAAGTACAAACATAGTGAGGGAACTAGGCTGCACATGGAAGAGGGAAGGGGGAAAGTAGAACAGAATGCATGTCCAAGAATGGCTCCACCAGTGATGTCTTCCAGAGCATATGTGTATACATATATTTTCATTAATTCATTAATAAATAGAAGTACCGAATACATGTCAGACATTGTTTCAAAATCAGGTAGTTGAGAAGTCGGAGACCTCTGCTTTCATTTCCAGTCATAGAAGACAGATAAACCAAACTAAATCCTCTCTCCCTCTGCCCTCCTCCACATATACATGCTTATATAAACAAAATACTAGACAGTGACAAACAGCATGCAGACAATTCAAGCAGTGAATGAGAGTTGCTGGTGGTGACTTAGGTTGATCTGCTGAGGTGAAGCTTAAATGGGACGGTTCTTATAATGAGAAAAAAAAAATCAGCTATGTTATTGTGATGATTGCAAAGCCCCAAGGCAGGAAGGAGCTTGCCATCTTTGAGGATTTGAAAAGGTATCTGTACCTTGAAGTGGAGCAGGTGAAAGAGTGTTAGAGGAGTTCCTACAGAGTGAGGAGGGATCAGGTCACTTAGGGCTCCATAACTCTCTAAGGTGGAAAAAGCTGAAGGATTGGAAACTAATGGTAGGAGGTATCCAATAACTAGTTGATAATTTAGTACAATATATAACTGATGATCAATAGAAGATTCAATGCCCCCAAATAATAAATGTTCTATAAAAAGGTACTTATCTCTGTTTACAAATGACTCATCTTGTTTATGCAAGTACATGACACAATTGTCTTTGAGGCAATTTTGCCTAGATTAATGAGGAAAATATGCTATGTTTATAGTGCTGGAATAAGAAATTCCACTGGTTTGAACCCTGTTTTTTATGTAGACTCTAGATTAATACATAAATGATACAAGTAGGTGACTAGTTAGGAAGGGGACCCATTGAAGAAGGAAGAACAAATATGAGGGTGATGGGGTAACTGAACAAAGTACATGATATGCATGTATGAAAATATCATAATGAAACTCATTATTTTGCGTACTACATTTTTAAAAGGCAAGTTATGAGGAGAGCAGCTAGTGAGAATTACATCAATAAAGAGATTCAGTTGGTAGAACTTTATTAAAATGGATGCAAGTAATTATAACCCCAGCAGAAGGGCTTCCTATACCACCATGGCACTTCTGGCTTTTCCTTAGGAGTACAGGATACATGGAAAACCACACAATATTCCTGTCATCTTAGAGTAGAGGCCACCTTTATTTAGTATTTATACTTGTTTCCAGGACTCCTGATCTCCCTTTCCCTACTCTTTCTTAGCTTTCTAGCATCTATTACTTAGTATACTAAAGTAGTTCTGTTTACCTGTCACCTCACAACTACAGTGTACATTGGATGAAGCCAGAGACTTTGTTTAGTCTACTACACATGCCTCTATCAAGAACCTGGAACAGAGCCTGGCACGGTGGCACACTCCTTTAATCCCGGTACTCGGGAGGGGGAGACAGGCAGATTTGAGTTCTAGGCCAGCCTGGTCTACACAGCGAGTTCCAGGCCAGCTGGGGCTACAAGGAGATAGTCTCAAAAAGATAGGGAAAAAAAAAAAAAAAAAAAAAAAGGAAAACAAGAACCTGGAATGGGTATTAAAAAACTATGGTCTCCAGGCCAAATCTGGATCACTCACGATTTTGTATGGTTCAGTCAGAGTGGCTCTTACACGGTACTTTGCAACACATGAAAATCATGTGAAAGTGAAATTTCAGTATCTGTAACTAAAAGTTTTATTGAATATAGTCATATATATTTGTTTATGGATTATCTATGGATACTTTCATTTATGACAGACACCATGTGACCTGCCAGGCTAAAATGCTAACAAAAAAGTCAGGTCATTTAGGTCAGTCCCAGACCTAGAAACCTAGAACACAGGAAGTCCTAATAAGTAAATAAGCAGTGGATGAAAAGATTTGAAGACATCAAAACTATAGGGAATGGAAGTTAGTAATGCAGGCGATGAAGGTGTCTGAAGTAGACACAAACACTAAAGATCTTTGCAACTGAGGACACGAAGCATGGATTTCTCTGAATTAATTAATTAATGTGTCTTTTTGAGACAGGGCCTGGAACTTGATATGTAGGCCAGGTTGGCCTTGAACTCAGAGATCTGCCTGCCTCTGCCTCTGCCTCCCGAGTGCTGGGATTAAAGGTTTGTACTACCACCCTGGCTTGAATTTAGTTATTTTATTGTGCTAATGAAATTTTTGTCTTTTTTTTTGTGAGACAGGGTCTCCCTGTAGCTCCAGCTGCCTAGAACTCACTCTGTAGACCAGGCTGGCTTCGAACTCAGAGGATCCGCCTGCCTCTGCCTCCCGAGTGCTGGGATTAAAGGCGTGTGCCACTGCACCCGGCACTTACTGTGCTAATGAAAGGAAATAATAGGTAGTGTCTAATGTATATATCCCTCAGTAGGAACTGTTCATTGAGGTTACTGAGTTCCCACCATGCATGC